AAAATGCGGCAAGATGTTCCCCTTCCCAATCCAATACCGAATGTGAAGAAGAGATGGAAAGCAATAAGAAGAAGTGAGTGTCGACGCTCTCTCATGCCAAGTGTCTCATTGCATTGTGAGGTGAGATCTTTGTGATCTGATTCTCTCTGGCTGGTGTTTCCGCACGGGCTTCAGTGCTGTTATGCGTCACCTTATCTTAATCTACCCAAAATATGTGACGCAAGTGCGTTTTCGTTTTCGTATTCGTTTCGTATTCTCGTTCGCAAATCGTCGCCAATACGTACTCTCACGATCCCGTTAATCCTCCGACGCAACCACGAAATCTTTGAGTTTTTGTGTGTAGCGAAACTAACAGAAAATGCTGTTGGCGTAATCGCAAAATATTATTGCCCAAAAGGTAAAACTTTACTGTTTATATAACTAATTTTATATTTTCTGTTTTCTTAATGAAGGATTGTTTTATAACATTTTCTTGATTAGTTTTCAATCTTAGTCCCAGTCTCTCTAACTCATTTAATTAGGCACACGTCACGCCAAAGCAAAATATGCGCGCGGGCAAATGAATATGGAAATCAAAATCTTCATGTTGCCATTGACAAGTACAAATAAATGGAAATCGTTAAGTCCGACCGGTTATCTTTGGGTTAAACTAAGCGTTAAGCGTAAGACAAATTCAGTTACTTGCAGTGCGGAGTCCGGGGACATGGACTTGGTACTGTACTGCGAACCCGCATTCATGCTCCATGCGTAATTAGCTGCGGCATCGTCGATTTATCATCAAAATGTGGCGGCCATAAACAAATGCAGCTCACTCCGCCGCCACTGGCGCCATTCGCTATTTTTTTTTGTATTTCGCTTATTTCTCATTTCATTCGCCGTTGGCTTTTCATTAGGCATCAGAGATATTCCACAGACGGCAACGCAGCAGGTGAAGATGTTTACCCAGTTACCCAGTATTCGGATTCAGATTTGAGGTTGCGCAAAGTGTCCGACAGAAATCAATAAAGTATCTCTTGGGGCTTGTGCAAGCAAGCCCCCGGTCGCCGATGTCATTGGAACTGACAGCAGTGCATAATGATGTTATTCAATTGCGCTAGGAGGGGACATAAGCATGGGGCCACATCGAAGCTGGAGCGCTGTGTGGGTGCATGTCCGAAGAACATTGACTTATTGCTGAGAAAATTGAGTAAACCCAGCCCGAACCTTTGGCAGGGTGAGAATCTGTTGGGGGCTGCCGCACTTGCCTTCTCAAATATGATCATTTCAATGCTGACTTCTATATCATGTGTTCGTGCTGGTCGCTTTTCGTTTTGCCACATGCCACATGCCATTTCGGAACAGAACAAAACAGAACAGAGCGAACCAGAACGAGAGCCAGGCCCCGCCCTCTCGGCAAGACCGGCCGCCCCTTGGGGGCCGAACGACGTGTGCATAAATCTTGCACGCATATTTAAGTTGATGATGTTAAATGGCCTGGCTGTACTAAAAATACGAAATATGCATGCCGTATGCAGGCACCAGTTTCATCCTGTCGCACTCTGTGGTATGTTTGTGTGGGGAATGTGCCGCAGCCACACACTGCTGCAACAACATGGCGACATTCATAAACTAAAACCGAACTAAAGAGACTCCTCGAGGGGCAAGGGCAACAGCAATGGCAACGGCAACGACAACGGCCACGGCCTGTGGGTTTTGGCCTGGGTTTCGGGCCTTCGGGGCTTTTGGCTGGACAAAACCGAGCGAACGGGCAACAAAACGTTCAGCCCCAAAATGAAGACAGACCAAAGCCGAAACTTTGATACACTTTTATCCAAATAATTTGGAAAGACTGTCCAAAAATTTGACTTTTCTTGGTAACTTTTCGGTTGCCAAATCCCTTACATTACAAACAAACCCAATCAGCTAAAGTACTTTTAGCTAGTGCATCGCAACGATTGGTTTTTCTCAGTCACCTTAAAGGTTTTTTTCTCTTCATTTTTTTTTATTATTATTTCTTGGCATGTTTTCTTTTTGCTTAACGGCGGCAGATTTGAAAAGAATTTCTGCTCGCAAATGAAATTGTTTCCTGTTAAAAGCTAAAAAGGAGGAAAGGAAAGAAAACCAACTATGCAGAAAGGGAATAGTGGTGGAGGAGGAGTTGGTCTGAAACATGGATATGGACGGCACCTGCTGTCGCAACGATTGATGAAATTAAAAGGTTCGAGTATAAATAACAATCTTTTTAATGGTCTGGGATTTGGAACTTAATTTTTTAATTAAACAAGCCACAGAGGCACAGCGACAGATAGGCAGGCAGAGTTGCAGAAACCTACAGGATGGTGTTGGGGCAAAGGGGGGAAGCAAGATTGGTGTCCGAGACATTTATGCAAAGCAGTAGCCACTTGGCCACTTGTGTGGTCTGTCCACGGTCTGCTGCCATCGCCAAGGAGGAGGCCCCCATAATAACTGTGTTTGCCTTGTGGCCTGGCCAACACTTTTACTGCCGCCACAAGGAGGTCTAGGCGCGGGGAGGGCCAAGAACTGGTCCCGCACGATAACATGTTAATCCCTGGCTCCCTCGACTACAAGTCCAACAACGATGTCAAATGTCAGCACATGTGATTTGTCATCGGGTAGGGGGGGAAGGAGGTAGGAGTTAGGAGCCTTGTATGCCGGCTGGAGGAGCGAGGACTGCGTCGGTGGTCGGCGGTCGACTCCTTTACATTGTGGCCTGGACAAACATTTGTCATTGGGGACGAAGACCACCTAACTTGTCTTTGCAGCTGTCATTTACAAGGACCAGGAATGTGGCATTGAGAATCTGTAGGAGAAGGCAGCACCCTCACTCTACTGAGACATACTTCAAGCAATTATCTTTTATTTCCAGCAATAAAAAACATTTTCATTGAATTTATTTATATATTTTTTATTTATACCATTTCTCTGCACACATTTGTAAACCAACAAATGGAAATAAATGTGAAGTTTTTTCGGGGAAACAAATTGAAGAAAACTGATTAGAACTTATACAAAATGAAAATATTGAGTACATATATATTGTTTACGATTTTTATTCAATTAATTAGTGTTTCGTTACTCGTTTTTAATACAAAGAAATGCAATTAAATAGTCGTTTATACATTCATATATATATAGATAAATATATGTATATAGGTATAAGAGATAGTAAGCCAGAGACAGAGTTACAGACAGAGAGAGAGAGAGTGAGATAGAGAGGCTATAGGGAGAGCGAGCGTTGTTCAGATAGAGAAAGTGGTTGTGGTTTACATGGGTGAAACGATCGTATGCTTTTATACATAAATAATTACATTTAATGCTCGGCTTAGGAATACAAAAATATTACAATTTACAATGGTAGCAGTGTTAACTTAGGCATATGATTAATCAATTAATTAAAATTAATTAGTAGAAACAAAAGTGCAAATGAATTTACAAATGACAAATGACAATCGTATGGAATTTGATGTCAATACGATCCAATCGTAGGTTTAAATAAATAGTTTCTGCTTTTGGTGGTTAGTGGATGCAATGCAGGATGCAGCCATCGATAACAGAAGATTTTTGTTATATTACAGCAACGCGCATGTGTGTGTGTGTGTGTGTGTGTGTGTGTAAGTACAGTAGTTCGATCCGAGTTGTGAATTGAGTGCCGCCTCAGTGCCGCCTAGTTAAGTTCATGATTAATCGCTCAATCGTTAAATGGGTTTCTTGTCTTAAGTACACACTAATTAAATTTTCACCTAAGCAGTTTGCTTTAACTTCTTCTTGTTTTTGTTTTTGTTTTTGTTTTTGTTTTTGTTGTTTTGTGGGGCTTCCTCCTTTTTTACATTCCTATATATCCGCTACATACGAGTATAAACTTGATGCTTCAGTGTTCTTTTTGTTTTTTTGTTGGGTTTTATTACTTGACTCGATTTTCCTCAAATTTGTTTAATTTCGCATATTTGGTTTGCTAATTTGTTTGAACTATTTACTTTAAATATTAATATAAATATATGAGAAACAATTATAGCTCAGAGGCTCGATTCCTCTTCATCGTCATACATATATAGCATTATACATACAATATATATGTGCATGTGTTTCGTGTTTGTATATGTAGAAAAGCAGCTGTTTTGTTCTTTTTGTTGTTGCTATTTTGATTCGATTTGCTTAGCTTTAGTTTTAGTTTTAGTTTCATATTCAGTTATTAAATATAACGTTTGCTTATTCAGTGTGAATTTTGGTGTTTCTGTCGCAGCACAAAGCACTCTTGTGCATGCGTTAATAGTTCCTTAAAATGTTCCATTGATCTAGGTGTGTTCTCCTCTTTCCCTCGCTCACATTACTCACGAGAGTGAGTGTGTCTGTATCTGTATTATTACCCTCTAAAATCGATTTGACAGGCTGACAATTTCAACAGCTTTCTGCATTTTGCTTAAAAAATTCGGTTTAATCTGAATGGAGAGCTCCTCGCCTCGTTCTATCCAATTTCGTTTCGCTGGGTGCCTAGTAAAATTGTTAAATATTGATTCATTGATTTCTAAACATCTTGTATTTCTTTTGTTGTTTTTTCGGTAATTGGAAGTGTTTTGCTGTGCGACATTGTTATCGTTATCGTCATTGACTCTTAGTTTCTGCTTGCGTATGAATTTAAAAAACGTCTTCATGGGTTTTTGGTTTTCTTTTCATTCAATTTGTTTTCTAATTGCAATTGGTTTTCGTTCATTATAAAATTTTGAAAATATATGCATATATTAGTTAATTAATATATATAAATATCGATTTTTGTTAAGCATTTGCTTTTATTAATTCTGATTGCTAATAAATTTAATTGATTGAAGCTTCCCTTTCGGTGCTTCCAAACAAGCAAATGCACATTGATTCTGCAATTTTTATTTTCCACTCCAACCGTTCAGACATCAATCATCGATTATTGCTATCGCTATCGTTATTGCTATCATTATCGCTCCGCTCATCGATTCTTTTTCGTTTCATTTCATTTCGTTTCGTTTCGTTTTGTTAGCTTATATAGCACATACTCGTAAATAAAAATCTTATTGTCTTTTCATTTATAACTATGTAGCAGTTCTGCGAGTTCTTTCCCCCCCCCGCTATGGTTGAGTTATGGTCATCTGGTGTCCGTTATTCCCATTCCCGCAACCGCTTCTGTAGCGTGCTTTAAGGCGTGCAAGTGCAAAACTTCTGTCTGGAGCTGAGCTGAGGTACTGAACAGTAAGCAACTCCCCATATAGGTATACTATATACGAGTATCGATCGCTCTCTATATATGTATATGTATCAGTTCATTATAAGTCGCAAATATTTATCCATAATTCTGTTTTATTTTCGTGCCTAAATTCATTTGAAAACTGTTCTGAGTATAGGTATACAACAATATATAGTCTGGGCAAACTCCAAAATTGATGGTACTACGCGAATCTCCGCTGGCTGCTGTGCAGTTGCAGCCGCCGGCGCTCGTTGTTGATTTTGATCTTGGCGATCCGTATCGACTCGGGCAGCACGGATGTGGGCGAGGTGGCCAGATAGCCGCTGACAAAGGTGAGGCGACTGTTGCTGTTGGTGGACCCGTTGCCATTGCCGCTGTCGCTGACATCCAGTTCTCCCTCGAAGAGATCCGGATAGACGCTGATATTGTCCAAGTTGTCGATGTCAATGTCGCCCGCCTCATTGCGCACGTAGGTCAGCTGGTGGTAGGGCGTGGCCATCAGCTTCTGTGTGGACTTGCGTAGGGATTTCTTGGTGGTGGTTGCCGCTGTGACGGTGCTTCTTGTGTCGACTGTTGGCGATGCCTCGGTGAGGGTGTTGTTCAAGTTGCTTTTGATGTTCTTGTACACGCTGAAGATCTTGTCGATGAGCCCATGCTGCTGAGGCGTCGTTGCCATGCTCTCCACAGTGGATGTGGCTGTGGCTGTGGCTGTGGCTGCCGCACTGGAGCCTGGCCTCCGCCTGGACGTTGTCGCCGAAGGTACTCGCGTGCTGCCAGTGGGCGGCTGCAGTGGCAGCAGTTGCTTGTGCAGCTTATTGTCGCCTTCCTGCAGCCACTGCCTGCTGTTCTCCATACTGCCACTGCCACTGCCACTGCCACGATGTCTGCTCAGCTTATGCGTGCTCGGTGCCAGATCAGTCTGACTGGCGAGAGTTGTGGCTGCCGTTGGCGTGGCGGCTCCTGTGGTGGCTGCGGCTGCTGTGCTGCTCCTGGCCATCTCTTCCTGCAGCGGCGTCTGCTCTATCACCAGCTGAGAGCCAGCTGTCGAGGTAGTTGTGGCCGCCGTTGCCGTCGCCGCTAGTGCTGCTGATGTTCCTTTGGTTTCATAGTCCGTCGTGGACACTGTCTCTGCGTCTTCAACCAGCTCTGCCTCGTAATGCAGCGGTAACTCCGTGTCGTTGCCACTCATCTCTGTCGTGGTGGTGCCCGCGGAGGCCTCGCTCTCCAGCTCCGTGATGAATGTGGACCAGGCATCGTAGTTGCTGCTGCTGCTGCTGCTGCTAATACTGTCGTCTGATGTTGCCGTTGTGCTGCTGCTGCTGACACTCGCAACATCTGGCGTAAAGCTATCAATGGTGGACCAAGTGGACCAGGGCTCCAAGGTAGTGATGCTGCTGCTGCTGACATTGTAGGCATCCTCGTAGCCCAAGCTGCTGCTGCTGCTGCTGCTGCTGCTGTAGAGGGAGTCGTCAGAGGATGTTGATGTTGCAGTCGTGACCGGCTTGGCCTTTGGCTTGTGACCCTTTCTTCGTCTTCCCTTGCGCTTGATGGACAGTGTGGCTGTTGACCATTTGGTTGTTGCAGTGCTTGATGTGGTGCTTGTGGATGTTGCTGCTGTGGCTGTGGCTGTGGCTGTTGCAGTCATTCGTTTCGTTGGACTAGCTGTGACTCGTTGCTGCAACTGCTCCTTGCGTCGTCGCTTCTGCTTCTTGTCGTGCTGCTGCCTGCGTGCCAGCAGCGAAGGATCATTGTGATGGTGGCGCACCTGATGTTGCTGCTGTTGCTGCTGTTGTTTCTGCTGCTTTTGTCGATTTAATGCTAATTGCTTTTTGTTAGTGCTACTTAGACTATTACTACTATTGTTAATAATAATGTTACTGTTATTATTATGGCCATGATGCTCCTGTTGCGGCTGCAACTTTTGATTTTGGTTATTCGATTTGTGGCGATTGTTTTTGTTGCTGCGCGACGGCGATGTCAATGGCTTCCGGCTGTTGCCACTGCCATTGCCATTTCCATTGCTGGCTATCATCTGACTGGCGGCCATCTCGTGCCATTTTGGTAACGTGTGCTGATGGAAAAACTGCTCGGCATCGATCTTATTGAACATGTAGCAGGCATCGTTGACGCTCTTCTTTGGCCCAACGGGCTTACCTCGGTGCGTGAACCCGACACGGCGCTGCAGGTCGACAACGGACCGGAACACGAAATAACCGTGCACGATCGTCTCGTTGAAGTAGCAGGTATCGCGCAGTTCCCTCTACAAGCGAGACAGAGAGAGAGAGAGAGAGAGAGAGAAAAGAGAGAGTTTTAATATTGTAGAGAGCGATGCAACTTCCGCACTCTTCAGATGCAATTTATGAGCAGCATTTCCGTTTATAAAGAGAAACCACACACACACACAACCCAATGGCTGATATTCCCCAGTGATATGAGAAGCATCGACAGCAATGATGACAGCGATCGGTGAGTGGGGGGTAGGTAGGAGTTAGCTCGGATACTGGTTCATTTTGCTTTCTGTTTATTTATAAAACACTTGAGATTTCAGAAACGACAAGCAAATGAAACGCGGCTTTCGACTTGGATGTTTGCATACTCCGCAGAGTTCAATGGGTAGAGAGGGTAGATGCGTTTTGTGGCACAGGGAAGAATGTACAGCATCGAACCAAACATTAGCTGCACCCATTACAGGGTAAGCCCCGGCCGACTAGCTCCAGCGGCAGCCAGCCTCCACATGAATGTTTGACCAACAACGAATCTGCTATCAGCAGACCTATCTGATCCAGCGATTCGATTGCGACGCAGATGGAAGCAATTCCCAAGCAATTAAGGCTTGTGCCATATTTAGCGATGGCTCTGAGCGGCAGCCTCTGTTTACACTCGAAATATTTATGGCATTTAATTGCTATTTTTGAGTAGCTTCTCACCAGCTCGAGCCGCGGCGCGTCAACTCGAGTGATCCAGGGCTAAGAATAGCAGAGTGTGTTGGGTAAACACGTTTGTTCTATTTCGAGAAGGGATCGGAATCGAATCGGATCGGATCGAGCAATCAATCGGCGAGTGAGTCAGGTGCAACCTTAGCACACACATCATTAACCTTCCCAACGAATTCCACGTAAGACTCTATTGATATCAATGGAAAATATTGTATGTGTGCTTAAATCTCGGCAAGTATTTGCACAATAACTCAGCATAGATTTTGCGGTCATAATCGAAAGCATTGCCAATGGAAATCACAAACGCAATCGAATGACAAGTGCCTGGTTTTGACCTTAGGGGTTCTATTCCATTGTTTGTCCAGAGCTCGAGTGCGCCTAACTGTACAGCGCGGGAACTGGGAAAGGACATTGAAATGTTTGCGCCATTACAGCATAGCCACAGCGCAAGTGCCGCGTCATCTGACTGATTGATTAGACATATCTATCGAATGCAACAATCTACGCGGACAATATCAAACTGTCATTAAGCGACACTCACTCTGTTTGTGTGTGTTTGCCTAGTCAATGATTTCTACGAGTGCCAACACTCCGCTGATCTCCGCTTCAGTTTGAGTCTGGCGGCATTGAAATGGCGGAAAAAAGTGTTACAATGTCTCGCGAAAAATATGTTTTGATTTGATTTCTAGGAATTTGCAATATCCTCCCGGAATCTCGGTGGCAGTTGCAATTTGTGGCAGCATGGGGAGACACGCACGCAACCCCCCAGCTGGGTGGCTAACGAATATCACGCATACGCCGCCGCCGAATCGAATCTGTGCCAAATTGTGCCCCGTAATTGCAAATGAAATTGTTCATATTTTGAAATTACAAAAATATTGTAATAAATATTTTGTTTACACTGCTGACAGAATTGGTGCAGCAGCAGCAGCAGCAGCAGCAACAGGTTTTCGAGTGTATCTATATCCATTGTGAGCGCCAAGTCTCTTTCGGACAAATTTGAACAGTGATTTTACCTCGGACTTGGACTCGTACCCCGGATCTCTGTCTATACTCGGCTCTATACGTATTTATGTGCAATGCAATTTGGGTAAATCGCTCTAGAGCATTGTTATTGTCGTTTGCATAAAACCATTATGTGGAACATGTCATAAATTATAGTGTTTGTACAGTTAGTTTGCATAAAAACAGATCGCAGTCGGTCTAGCGGCCGACTTTGACAAGTGCGACGATACGTGGATAAATGCGATGCAATCAAATCAAAATAGTTGCAACGGGCCTCGAGCTACAGCTAGAGCTCTCCACGAGACAAAACAAATATTGTTAAACATATGATTATGGTAAGCAATTTGCTTGCACAAGAGCCTCCCTCCATAAAGATAATCTAGCTTTGAGTTCGCTTTCATCTTGGCGGTCTAAATGTTGTCAATGCTTATCTCGGGGGGATATACCGCATAGCTGGGCTGTGTGTGAGTCATCTTGTAGGGATGGACAGTCGGTTGCATACTTTCAGGGTACATCAAGCGATCACTTGACTGATCATCAAATAATGTCGAAGGTCAAATGTTCCACTCACCATGCCAACTAATCTCCAATTGTCGTTGAAACACAAATATCTTTGGGTTTCTTTTGCGTACAGTGCTATTTTGAATTCGTTGTTCACATAATCCGGGAGGCCGACTATCGTTATATTTTCTGTAAGTAAAAAAACAAAACAAGACACGAAATGAATAAAGATTTCCATTAGTTTGATCGTCAGCTTAGTCATGTCAATATTTGGCTGGCAAAAACATTTTTAATTAAAGTCAAATAAAAGTGATTATGCCAAAATGTAAGGGGAACGTGGGAGGCATGTGGGAGGAAGCTGCACCAAAAGGCTTCATTTGATTTCTAGATACAAATTCCCAAAATAGGAAGAAAATGCATTAAATGTCGGAAACTCAAGTAGCGCCAAGGTGCGTGTCTCTCCTGCTCTCTGCTAATTATAAACTAAATGCAGTTGTATCTCCATCTGGGCATCTATCCCATACCCATACCCATACCCATACCCATACCCATAGCCATACCCATTCGAGTGTATTGTATCTACTGCTTGGCATGGCCTCGTCAGGCTATTGAACTTCAGGGCAGGCACTGCTGCAGAGGGAGGCGACAGTGAGAGCCGGCCACAAAAGTCACTAATAAGTAAAGCACTTGAAAAGCCAGAGAGAAAAAAAAGGCAACATGAAGAGAAAAGCCACTCGAGTTAGATTGATAGGTGACTCTGGGTTCAGCCCAGAGTCGTCTCAGTCGTCTCAGTCATCGTCGTCGTCTGCCCGTCTGTCCGCCTGTCCGCTGCCCGCCGCCCGCCATCGTCTTCCTGCCTTCTGTCAGTAATTAAATTTATGCACAGAAATTCTTGGCAAAAACTTGGGGCTATGCATAGGCTCTGTGCTGGAAGCTCTCATATTTCATAAGCCCGGTGCGAGTTGAGGGCTTGAGTGACTTTGTGCTTCACACCTTTGGCCCGCCAGTGGCAGCCACTTGTGGTGCTCGGTGACCAGTCCCCCTGCTCCCTCCAGGCAGCTCCTTTTGTTGCTACGAGTATTGCCCGTGATTCATGCACCCGCTGCGACAGCTTATTGATTTCATTAGTTTGGCGACACATGACAGGGCGAGTGGAGCATGGAGTGGAGTGGAGTGTAGCACTCTCTGCAAGTTTGCACTTGTGAGTGCACACTCGATACCCAGCACCCAACACCATTCCCATTCCCATTCCCACTTTTCTCCCTTCAGTCTTCTGTTTGTTTTTGCTATGGTAGCAGGAAGTGCAGGTTCAATCTCGACGAGCAACGGTACTGCAGTTCCCCATTTGTGGTCTATGTATTGGCATTAGATCATCCCAGATTAGATATCGTTGAACTTTGATTGGGTTACGCACTCGATTATGCATTCTGTTTCAGTGTCAATAGAGATTCATTCTATTCGTACACTCGGTAGCTCCCTCCCCACTAAATTCTATTGGATTGAAAAGCCAAATGTTTATTTTTAAATGCTCAAACAACAGCCAGATCTAAACATTTGGTTTCAAAAGCAAAAGCAAAAGACAAAACCAAATCCCATCAACTGCATTTTAGGCTTTGGAATTTTGATGGCCTTTTGTGATCTGTGGATACATTTTAGAGATCTTTTTCATTGCTTTTTGGGGTTTGGTTTTTCACTCAATAAAAAGCTTCGATTGGGTCGCATTTTTTGCCGCAAGTTATTAAGATTTTGGTGCCTGCCCCGAGTTTCTAATTAAGTTATTAGTCATGGTGAGTGGAATGTTCATAGCGTCTCGTATTCGAATGGGCGTTGAACCGAGAAATGCAACAGTCCGAAAGGTAAAACGATCGAAGGGGATTCTCAGATGCTATCTATTGGTCTCCGATCGGTTCTGAGTTTATGGCGGCGTGATTTACGCTGCGGAGATAGAATTTCAATGTGTAAATGGAGCAAAGTGGTCACGTTTTAAGCGGGTATCTATGGCATATAATATAGGAATATTAGTAGCTTGGAATTGATAGAAAAACAAAAGTTCCAATGGTACAAAATGCCTGCAAATTCCGTGACTTATTTGTACCCCCCACATGAGCTTTTAAATACCCCAGACCTCTGCCTGCAAAGCCCACCAGCTGTGCACAGCTTTGTGGTGTATAATGTCAAAACTTTGAAAATGTAACAGCATGAAGCAAGCGCATCAACATGATCAAACGATTCTCAAAACATAAAGCAGGGGGAGTGCGGAACGGGAGGGGTGGGCGACACATGAGGAACAATAAAATCAGAGACAACAGAGCCAAAATGCTAATCAAATATGCAAGCAATGAGCTTCATCAACATAAAATTAAAAAATCATAAAATGCTAAACTGCACAGCATGAACAAAATCCCAAAAAAAAAAAACGAGCCACAACGAATAAAAAAAATAAAATAAAATAAAATAAAATGAAATAACATCAGATAACTTGACAACGAGCTGGAGTGCCTCGTAATTGCGGCAGCACATGTACGAAATACCCTCGAAAACAACAGCAACAACGATACATTTTACGAGCCATATGGAGATGGTCAAACAACGTCACAGTCTCACACTCCAATCACTTTGTCATTCCATCAGCATTTGCTAAGCCCCCACCAATATCTAGCTTAGTTTTGTGTTATGTGGGACTCATGGGGCACAGATCTTCATCTCATCTCCATCTCCATTCGATTGGTATCTCTACGCTGGTGGGCGTTGCGTTGGGGCTGGGCTTGTGTTAAGCATAAATCTCGGCTTATCGATCTCTATGATAATCAAGAGTCAAGCGTTTCCCCCTGCATATTTATCGACACTAATCATATTTGATTTTACTTTCTAGATTCTACTTTCACTCGTTTTGGGTGGGCCTGCAACAGTGACTAGAGATGTTGCTAGTGGGGGGAACTGTCATGTAAAGACACAAATATTATCCTTGGAGCGGGCATTGAACTGCTGTCTCTCGTTCCGGGAATGTTGTCTGAGGCGACGCAACTGCATTCCGGGAACAGAACCTTTCCGCTGACGATTGCAAAACTCCCTGACGGACACACAAACACACTTCCACTGCGAGGCGTTTTAGATTACGTTTGCATTGTGACGTTGAGGAGGGGCCAACCAGTAATTGCTTTTGCATTTGCAACTCGTACAACTCGTACTCTCGGGCCGAGCACAGCCCAGCCACAATAAACATCCACGCTGCGATTTGTCACATGCTGCAACTATCGTCATCGCCATCGCCATCGGCTGGGCTATCGTTGCAGCAGCAGCCACAGCCACAGCAACAACTTCGCACCGCACTCATGGCAGTTTTGTCACGTTTCCTGGAAGAAAAACCGTTTTATTTGCTCGGTGCCTGCATTTCGGTACGGTTTGTTTTGTAAGCCGAGAGTCGAGAGCCGCGAAAGGAAAACAAACTTCAACTTGAAGCCAATGTCCCCCCACAGTCCCAACCATCTCCCTGCGGGCTCCACACTCTGGCCTCCAGTCATTTATCAGTTTGCTGCAGTTGGGCCTCTGGTTTGGTCTCTCTTGCACCGTTTCTTCTTGCCCCAGCAACAGCACCAACTCCACTTTTAACTGCACTAATGCTAATTGCATGGGCACGCCCAGCCCCCAGGTCCCCAGACTAGCTTCAACTTCAATTCCACTCGAATGCCACAAAATTAGCGCCATTTAATGTGGAGCGTACTCGGGTTTTACGCACGATTCTTCCACTGACGCCACTCCTGGCAGTTCGCTGGCGCGGGAGGAAGAGGCCACAGTGTCAATGAGTTAATTAGCGCACGATTTGTCGCCCCCACAAAGGCGCGGCAGGGGCAGGCAATGAATGCATGTGTGGGTGTGTGGGTGTCTGGGTGTCGAGAAAGAAAAATCTCTTCTTTTATTGAAGTCATCGTTTGCCCCATTTCTGGGTCACATGTTGTCTCTTTCTCTCTCTCTCTCTCTCTCTCTCTCTCTCTCTGTCTATCTGTGCGTCTTTTATTTGTTTATAATTTATGTTGCTCTGATTGAATTCTGTGGTTCACCAAATCAAGAAAAAAGCAATTAAAATTATAGAAATATTTGAAGATAAAACACAAAGAATCTCGTATAAATGTGATTAAAAATAGGCATAAAATGTTGCTCCACTTTTCATGGCTCTAAAAAGTTGGGTTAATAAATAATAGATGCCTGCAAAGAACTCACAAATTTTAAAGATATTTCAGGTTAAAATTTCTAGGGCTCATTGCTGCTGCTCCTGCTCCTGCTGCTCTTATCAATATGCTTGAGTATGCAACAAAAAAAAAGAAGCATTTATCAATGCAAAAAGCCTGCGGGACAATATCGATGACAGCCAGCAATAACAATCAATCGAAAGAAAACAACAACAACAAAATGTGCAACCCAGTGCAGCCTTTTGTCGTTGATATTGAACTTTCGTATCCGGGTAGGCCGAGGGGCCGAGGGGCAGAGGCAGAGACCACACACGCAGTCTGCAGGGGGGCTGGGGCCGTCTGTTATTTACAGTTAATTGCTGCTGCTGCTGCTGCTGCTGCTGCTGTGGATACTCGCCTCGATTGCTGTTGCTGCAGAATGAATGTTCAATTACATTGATAGTTTCATCAGCCACAAGGCAAGCAATAAGTTGGATACCCTTTCAATGGGTGCGTTCCATTAATGTTGAGAGGCAACAAAAATAGTCCCTATCCCACTGCCAGTGTATCTGCGTCTTCGGCTATCAAGTCTGGACTCATTTTTGTTGTCTCTGGTTTAAGCTCGCTTTTTGTTGATTTAGTCTTTACTGTGGTTGCGGTTTCGCTTTCATTGTTGTGGCAGGCAAAGGGGTGGCCCGGAGAGTGGTGAGTGTACGCAGATGGAAAATAAATTGAAACTGGCATTTAATTAAGTTAAACCAAGGGGAGAGCGAGATAGAGAGAGCAGTACGTACACACACGTTCCCCATAATGAATTGCACTCGCCTGGGCAATTTATTATAATAAATAAAAACGAATACCCGCCACGATATATCACAGTGAACTACACTAATTGCGGTTTCCATCTAAGCAAGGACGTTGGCCAAAAACCCCAAAAACTCAGCCGAAGTCAAGTCAAATCAAGTGGAGAGCCCAGCCCCAGGTTGCAACATGTGCAACAAAGTCCGAGTACGAGTGCGAGGC